CTCAGAACTGGTTTGGACCGAATGCACTGGAACTCATTCTTATGCTTGTAACCTGTCATTCTGCTCTTTAACTGTCTTACAGATCCTTTAAAGCAGGGTGTTCTGAGTGTGGTATGACATGCAATCTAACTGTCTAAGTGTGACACATTTGAGTCATGTCCTTATCTCCATACTTTTAGTTACAGGAGACCATGAGTTCTGCTGTAAAAACATTTAGACTGAATATATTGTAACTTATCTAAAGTGTGTGATATAAAATGGTGTTGGCACAATTTTAGGGTTTCTGCAAAGACATCCCTGAGTTGTTTATTTTCCTAAGAGGAAGCCTTTAGCATGGTTGAGATCTTATATTAGCTATGAACTCTGTATCTACAGTGTTTTTGTTTACTGTATTAAACCGATTTCTTTCGATTCCTGGATTATTAAGATTTTGTATTTTATTTATTTTTATAATTATGGAAAATTGTTCAACACTATTGAACTGTGATCACACGAGAGGGACAATTCTCACTTGGACATGGATCATAATCCTCTACAGGGTCGGTTCAATCTTATGAGCCAGTTTCTTGTAAAGTTTGTTTAAACTGGTCACATGAGTCATGTAAGCCTGTAGTTTTCGTGTAGTAGCTTTTCCTGGTTGAGCCATCAGGATACTACCTCGTTCATAAAATGATTTAGGAACTATTTTTTCCCATGCAGTGTTTGGCAGACTTAAATAAAAAGTTATGTCATATCATCTCTCTCATTTTTATTGAGCCCCAGAGACAACATGACCATGAGAGGTCTTTGTTTACTGAATCCAAACCCTTACTAGGTCTGACTGTTCAGGTCTCCTATTCGTCCATGCTTCAGTATTTGTACATTAACTATTGCCAGTAATTTATCTATTTATTGCAGGATATGCAATAGCTGGCATGTTTATACACAACATTTCTGCAATCATTTTATCACCTCAATAGGTATTTCAGCTTTTATCAATTTTTCTTCACATATTTTTTAAAAATGCTAAAAATCTATTTTTATATTTATATCTTTTACTTTTTTATTTCCAAGCATTTTACTCAGATACTTATGATTTCCTGTTAAGTTTCTGCTTCTCCTTTTTATACTTTTCTGGTCTCCTGTCCTGTGGACCTTCACTGGAGGTCCTTGTACTTCTGAAAGTAGATGTTTATTGCTATAGACTTCCCATTTAGTAATGCTTTTGCTTTATCTGTAAGGTTTTGCTTTTATTTCATTTCAGTGATTTAGGTTTTATTTTTTGATGTAATTTTTGTGAAATATTTTCCAGTCATTTTATTTGTAAGAGCCTTGCTTGCTTTCTTATTAAGAGATATGGTTTTAATTTTTGCATGTTAGTTCTTGGATGTATATATATTTTATCAACATTTTTTCTCTTATGGGGTATATCTTTTGTCATCGGGGATATTTTTACAAAGCCGATTTCTTTTTTAATTTTGTAAGGTTTGAATTATGAATTCTATGCTCATGACTTTATCTCCAGTGTCATACCCTCAACGTTAGTGCTAAAACCAACGTTTTATGGTTGTGTATTCTTGTGCTTACTTTCTACTCATAGCATTGCTAGGTTTCATTATATACATTCATGTCTGTGATTCATCCTGAGATTTTTTAAAGAGTAGAAAGTTTGAATTCATTTTGTTATTTGCTGAATATTTACCGTATTTGAACTTTGTTTCTTTGTTCAAAAACATTTGACTCTATGTAGACCGATTTGTCTGGTATCTGTTTGATTATATTGTTCGACGTGTCTCTTCTTGTAACTTTAACACATTTTGAGGAAGGTGAATATATAAGAAGTCTTCATTTTAGTAGTGCCTTTCTTCCTAGTTTCCTCTTTTCTTTCAATATTTTGCTGGTATCCATATGCCTTTTGCATCTTTCCAAGAAAAATCAAGTTGTTATTATTTATGTATTACCAGTGGAATTTAATGATATCTTTACCAATTTCATTCTCTCCTTTATTAACTTTTAAAAACTTTTATTATTAGTCTAAATGAAGCACTCCTCAGCCTATAGATAATTTAGGAAGACCTTTCCATAGAAATAATATTGGATCTTTCTATTTATTGATTTAAAATTTCTCTCCACTTATTTAGGACTTCTTTGATATCATTCATCAATTTGTAAATCTGTACATATTTTGTAGCTTTTCTCACTTGTATACATTGGTTAGCTTTATAATGGAGTGTTTCACTTAGAGTTATTTTGAGTGAGATACAGATGTAAATGATATTGTGTTATGTTAATTATTTGTATTTATTATTTGAAAAATTTACATGAAAGTAAAATATAACTTTATCATATTCACCCTCATTTCCCCTGGAACTTCCAAACATATTTCCTTCCAAACTTCAAGCATGCTTTCATTTTCTTTTTTTATTATGTATTAGCTCACTGAGTTCAATAGATGCTGCCCAAATGCTCGACCATAAGGATCAACTGCTAGATCTTAAGAAGCCTCTCAGTGACCACCTTTTCTCTCCATAGAGAAAACCGACTTTCACTGCCCCAGAAATCATCAACTATCAAGAGCTTCTCAGCTAGATGTGGAAACTAAGTAGCTTTTGCCCAAAGCTATGCTGGAACTTTCAGGGCGGTTGATCTTGTGTAGGTAACCACAGCTGCTTTTAGTTAATAACTATGCCATATCCAGAAGTCTGAGCTTCATATCACTACTTTCCTTCCTCCAGTCTTTAGATTCTTTCAACTCAAACTTCCAAGATGCTTCTTGGTTTCACTAGGGGATATCTCAAAAGACAACTTAAGAAAGAAAGTCTATCACCCTTTAGAAATCATGACAGTGGGAGTTTGGAATTTGAGGCAGCTGATCACATTCCATCAGGGCTGCGAAAGCAGACAGCAACGGCTGTTGGTGCTCAGCTCCCAGATCTTATTCTGTCTAGAAGTCCAGTCCATGGAAGGACACTGGACATATTTAGGATGTGTCCTTCTACCTCAGTTAACCCAATCAAGAAATCATCTCATAAACATGTCCAGAGCTATAATTCCATTGTGATTATACATCCTATAATATTAATAATCAAGATTAAACATGCTTATAGTTTTCAATTTCTAAAAGGATTATACTCTTCTCTTAAACATTAAGAAAAACTAAACCAAGTTAATCACATTTCATGATGCATTAGGTACAATTAGAGCTATATAGGTAGGTAGTATAATGTGAAAATAACCTGAAAGCAAGAAGTATGAAAAATGACTTAACTAGGTATTTGCAAATAGAAGTTCAAAATAAAAAATAAATTTCTAGAGAAAATATCAGGGCAAAATTAGGTCAGGAAATTGTCACTATGCCAATAGTTCTTAGTTGATAAAATGAAAAGCTATTCTACAACAGTACATTATGTAAAAATGAAAGCACACATAACAAACTAAAATAAAAATTGAAATGCAGTTGAAGAACTATAATCTAACCTAGCAGATTGGAAACCTAGCTAAGAGGCAAAGGATACAATGTTACAAGAAAGTAAATATTTACTAAAAAATGGATATGTAAAACTAACAAAATTAGAAATGAACAATAAAGATTGACTGCTCTAATCAGCTAATAGTCTCAATATTATAGGAACATTTATATCTTATAACAGTACTTATCCAAAGCACTTTGATATAATTTAGTTCTTTAAATATAGCATTTTGTGTTCTTTATGGCTTGTAGTAACAGAGGTATATGCTTATAGTTTTCAATTTATACTGATACTTGATTATGGTCCTTATCCTTCAGTAATGTTAAAATTAAGATTCTAGATACAGGTGAAATATCTAGAAAGCCTGAGCTTCAGAATTCACAGTACTTTTTCATATATAGTATTTACTTTGTGGCAAACAAGGCTAAGTGTGTTTCATATATTTACTAAAGAAAACATCAATCACAGGGGAAATTAAATTTTATCTTACAAAGCAAGGCGTAAAGTTAAAATGAAAAAGGAAAAAATCAAACATGAAATTCTATAAAGATCAGATTCTCAAATGCCAAAGTAACAAGAGCAGCAATATTAGACAGAGTATGGTGTATTAGAGTTCTGAATGAGTCTTCCCTAAAAATACCATAAGTACACAAAATAAAAAATCAGGACCTCTGAAGATAGAAACTTTTGAGGAAAGAACTTTGAGGAAACTTCTGGGTTGGAAAAACACACTCTCTCTACCTCGCCACATTGCTCATCTGTCCTCAATGAACAAGATAGGCATAGCCACAGATTAGAGAAGTTATATACTTTGTATAAGAACGTACAGGAAGGAACTACAAAGGCTTTATAGTAGGGTAGCATGTCCTGAAAATTTTTACTTATAACCAATACTATATTAAGAAAATTTCTGGTTTCCAGATAAAGGTGTGGAGTCTGGAGAGTCAATAGTTAACTTTTTGTGAAAGTCTTTATTCAAATCTATAAAAATTTGAAATCAAATACCTTAGACATACTTTTAAAGTATTATTTTAAACCTTCTGTGTGTGTGTGCACATGTGTGTGTGTACAAACACTTTTGTGAAGGTGCCTAAGGTAGCCGGATATATTGGATTTCCCTGGAGCTGAGGTTATAGGTTTGAGAGCAACCTGATGTGGGTGATGAGAACCAAACCTGTGAGAGAAGGAGTGGACTCTCTGAGTTGCTGAGCCATTTCTTCAGCACCTAGAATATTTTAATATATAATTCAGCAAAGGATGCAGGTAAGTACTCTTCAATGTTTATTTCTATAGGAGTAATACACACATACACATACACACAACAGGCACATTTTTAAAATTTCTCTTTACATATGTTATGTCTATAAGTTGTCATCAATTCAGAAAATGACCATAGTTATTGAATCAAGTAGCCTAATTTTTCTTGTCAGAATATACTAAATAATTTTTATGTCCCAAATGTAAAGCTCTCTCTCTCTCTCTCTCTCTCTCTCTCTCTCTCTCTCTCTCTCTCTCTCTCTCTCTCTCTCTCTCTCTCTCTCTCATTTTCAGTGTTAGTAGAAAGTGGAACTGTCATTTCATTTGTCGGTTATATCAATTCTGGATATTGTAACATTTATAGAAATATTGTTGGACTTGTGGAACTATCAATAAACAAAGTGGTGAGTTTCAGCTTATTTGCTCTCTTTGATAATTAAGTACTCTAATGACTTAGGAATGCTAGATAGTATTTTCTCAAACATATTTAACATCTTATTTTAAGATAACGATATGTTCACCTAAAAGTTGCAAAATGACCAATGATCACATTACAAGGTATTTCATGTCCTTTGTCAAAGAAATGAAATTTAAAACCATTCCAAAGTAATACCCCAATAGAATAGAAAGAGTAAGACAAATTTTACCAAGAAACTCACCTTTCCCTCTCAGTATTTACTCACTTAGAAAGGGGTGTACCCATCTACATAAAGACTCACATTAATCCTCACAATCCTGGAGCTATAAGTAATCTAAATATCCATTGATGGCTGAATGAAGTCATTGTGGTATCCTTAGACAATGAATTGCCATGCAGAGTTAAAGAATCTATGATAAGTTGTATGAATCTCAACATAGGTGGTATGAAAACATGAAACCTCAGAAAGCAGTATACTCATTTCACTTTTATTAACCAGGCAAAAAGGAGTCATAGTAACAGAAAAAGAATGAGTGATTATTTCTCTGATACTATTTAATAGGATTCAATTAAATATGTAAACTGGCTTATACTCTGACATTTCTGTGATATTCCGAATAAAGCTTTACCATTTGCAGAAATGACAAATATTCAATCTGATACAACTTGACTTCAATGCACTAAAGACTTCCTCCTTGTTCAAGTGCCTGTCAAATGCTTGTCTTGGGGGAGATATTTGCTTTTCCATGCTTGCTGTTGCTTGATTGTCCTAGTTTTAATACCGATTAGATCTCTCAGGAAAGATGCCATTATACCCTCATCCTCTTCAGAGCCACCTGTATTGAAACTGCAGTAAAATCTACCACAAAGACCTTGATTTGAAATAAATTACTAGCTTACTCAGTTGAAATCATCACTTTTGTTAAGAAAGCATAATAGTTGGAGATACAGCTCACAAGATACCCACTTGTGATATATAAATGAACCTGAGATTAGTTCACAGTAACACACTTATGAGCAAACACACCCACACAATAAAAGAAGAAAGACAAGTGTGACTAGCTATCTCAGTTTACACCATCACTTGTAGCTGTTATAGTTTCTCATCTCCATTCTCTCAGTTACTCCAATAACTGTGTTTTCCACGTGAGGCTGAAGTTTATTAGAGTTGGTAATTTACAAAATACTATTCTTGGGGCTTTGAAAACTTGAACTCGTTCAACATTTCTCAGACATCTTAACATAATCAAAAATGAAATCCAGGAGAGTTAGATGGCTCAGCTTGCCACCAAGCCTGACAAACTGAGTTCAAACTCTGGAACGCACATAGTAAAAGGACAGAACTGAAGTTGTTCTCAGTCTTCCACATGCATATTATCATCACCATCATCACCAAAACCGCCACCATCATCAATTGTCTCACATACTCACACATACTCTGAATTAGTAGACATTAAACTAATGCAATAGCTGCATACCTAAATGACAGTATTGTCAACTATCTTTTATATACTGAAGGATACTTGGGTGTGTTATTGCTTTAATATAAAAAGAATAATATAAAATGAACAAAATAAATTTTAAATGTTTCCTCTGATTTCAATAAACTTGGCTGCTAATTTCTTTTAGCTGGATGATTTATGAATAACTGAGTTTCTGATGATAATGATTATGTGAATGTTTTCATGAAATCCCTATTATCCTTATCTTTTGCAGAAAAAAATTAAAAAGCTTGTTTATATGGGTAAACTTAAGGAGAAGGAGTCCTTTGGTGAGATCAGTGTTCTTCTCCAAGCTCCCTTCACATGTACAATTATCACTGGTAAAGAAGTTGAGATGGCAGTTATTGAAGATAAGGATATACACGGTAAATGCATGAATGTCATTTAACTCTTGGGCCGTTTAATCACAGAGGCTTTTGAAAAGGGAAAGAGCTTTTAACTGAAAACTTGAGGCATACAAGTGAGTGTATATATGTACATAATAGTGGTGACAGTTATGTAAGATAGACTGTAGATGGATATGTAGTAGACTGATTCTATTTTTCTACTTTCAGCTTATTGGATTTACTAGTCTTTTTGATAATTCACTGTTAAATGCAGCAGTCCTAGTTTTACAGAATCCTTTATACCCTATTGAAGGTATTTCTTTGATGATTTTGAATCAGGTAAATTATGTACAATGCTAATGTACAAAAACCAAAATACACCCATATACATGCATACACGCATGCATAGATACATGTACACAAATGCACGCTTGCATGTAAAAACACATGCATGCACAAGCATGCCCATATATACATACATACATATGTGCACACATACACACATCCAAAATTTTCAATGTTTAAGTCAAATACTGCAACCTTAGGGCTTTAGTAATAATAAAAACATAATGATGCCATCACAGATTAAGACATGCAATTGATATAAGCAGAAATGTATAGTGATTTGAGCCATTACCCAGTATAATTCTAAGTGCTTCTCTGTACACTCAAGCTAAAGAATGCCATATAGTATTAAATAATATAGTAAAAGACATTAAAATTGGTGAAAGATTTTCTTAAACTAACTCAATGGAACAGAATTCTTGGATTCCAAATTTTGAGTATATAGATCTCCTGGAGAATATGCAACCTATACTTGCTAAAGCTTTATTCAAATGAAAAGGCTAATCCAACATCCTCTCTGTTTTTAAAAAGTGTGGTTTTGAAGTGGTATTTGTTAATTTTCTTCATACCTGTGTCATTCAAATACAATTCCCTTCAAGTTAAATATCACCTAACACCAACTACTAATTAAAACAGTTCTGTCAGTATTCACAGAAAGGCATGGTTTTCCTTTCACTAACAACATTAGTGGGGTATATAAACACATTAGGTATTCTTTTATGTAAATAAAGATTTCACACATTACTATTATTCAGGGCTTTATAGAGAAACAGAACCTACTGAATATTTATATATGTAAAGGAGATTCACTGGGAAGCACTTTATGGGGAACCAGGAGTTCATGAAGCCACAAGGAGTTCTCTTTGCAAAAGCCAGTGGTATTAATCAGTCTGAAGACTGAGGCCTGAGAATAAGGAAAGCTGTTGTTGGAACTAGTTTTGCCCTAGTCTGAGACTAAAGATATGAAAAGTGTGTGTGTGTGTGTGTGTGTGTATGCATACATGTACATGTACACCTGAATGAACATGTAGTGAGCAAATTTAGTAAGTTTTGGGTTATGAATGCTTGATAATCTTTTTCCTTTTGGACAGAAAAGCAATGTTCCAGAATAAGGAGGCATATAGAATTTAGAGATACTGAAGAAAGAATTCATGCTTTATCTGATTTTGTAGCACCCTGCTGATGCATTGTATAATTGAATTTTACCTTTTCATACTGGTGACTGTGAGTTTTCCTTGCGTCTTCTAATTCAGATCCTAACTCCTCTTAAAGACATCCTTATACACATACCTGAAAAGGTTTTTCATAATATGTCTGAAATTGCGTAGCCTCATCAAACTGACACATAAAACTAATCATCAAACACATGAATGTGTTCCTTTCAAGCATTTATTAGAATCTCCTTTGCCACCCGGCAGAACAAATTTAAATAGATGGTATAGAATAGAGATGAAATTGTTCATGTGCATGCTATTCATCTTCTAAAATTTATTCTATACTTCATTTATTTTAAGACTGATTTCACAAGACTACTGTCATGCTATTTCCTTGATTCATTAGGCTCTAGGGAGAATTATGATTAGGAACTATATTTCCCAAAATTTATAAGGCAACAGAATAATAAGTTTATTGTAGAATATATTTATATTTCCACATTATAAGTATTGTATGTTTTATTTCAAGGGAATTAAGTACATATTTAAAAAGCAAAAGTAGTTCTAAGAAATTAATGCATGGTTGGTTTTAATGAAAGGAACATATTTATACATGAAAAGAAGACTTTATTTTATAGCATTTGTGTCTGTCTGCCTGTGTGTGGAGGTAGAGAATGTATATGGTGTTGGGGACGGAATCTAGGGCTTTAAAGATAGTAGGCAGGTGTTCTTGCACTGAGACACTTTTCATCCAAAAATTATGTTCTTAAAATTAATATTTTAAATACAATTTGTTGTTTGTCAGTCTATATACATACAAAGTGTATTGTGATTACTCATGTTTTTCTCCAAACCCTGCCAACATCCCATTCTTAGTACAAGTATGTCTCTCTACCACGTTTATGTTTTTTGTACTTTGGGCCACTGAGTTTACTCACTGCCATCACCACAGCTGTGATTTGTAACTGTCAACTGAAGGTTGGTGAGCTCACCAATAGGTGATTCCTTGATCTCCAACATTTATCAACACCCAAAAGTTACCATGGAATTGGTAGGGATCTGTTAACCCCTTATGAATGACTGACTCTTCAAACAGATTAATCCAGGCCAAGTACAGAAAAATCTAAGCTGCTATGAGATCTTGATTGTAATGAATGGGTCATACTTTCACCATACTTCTCCCTATAATTCACTTCCTATATTTTTTGTCCTGTCTTCTAAAATACTCTCTGAACCTTAGAGAAGTTAGTGGTATAAATATCCTATCAAGGGATGAACATACAATCATCAGTTATTCTTTTTCCTCTTTATTTTTCTCCCATATGTTACAGCCCAACCACAGCTTCTTCACCCTTCATTTCTTCCTGTCCCTCCCCTTACAACTCCTCTCCCTTAGATCCCCTCCTAATCCCAAATTTCCCCTCAAAATCAAACAAAGGAATTAACCAGGTCTCCCAAGGATATCCACTGCAAATGGCTTAGCAAGATACAATAAAACTAGGCACAAAGCCTCATACTGAGGCTGGGGAAGACAACCCAATAAGAGGAAAAGGATTCCTAGCACAGACAAAAAGGGTCAGAGGTGACCCCACCTCCCAATGTTAGGAGTCCTATCATACAACCATGTTACACAGCAATAAGGTATGGGCAGATGACTTACCTCAGAGCCATACAGGGTTCATGTTCATTGTTTCAGGTTCTGTGAGCCCCTGTGTGATCTGTTTCGTTGATTCTGTGGGCCATATTCTTTTATTGTCTTGTATGGGCCCTACAGTCCTTTCTCTCCCTCTCTGGTGGGGATTTTCCTGGTTCTACCTAGTGTTTGTCTGTGGGTCTATGCATCTGCTCTCACCAGTTCCAGCGGACGCCTCTCTGATGACAATTGGGTTAGGCTAGGCTTCGATCTATTAGAATAGCAGAATATCATTAGGAGTTAGTTCATTGACTTTTTTGGCAGTCATGTTTGAGTCCACTCTGGGTCTTTGGGATATCTTGCATCTGGTTTCTGGTCACGTGTGTGCTAACTCTCCTTGCTGAGAGCTTTAATTTGGACTGGTCATTGGTTGGCCACTCACAAGTTCTGCCCCATTATTACTCCAGAACATATTGCAGAGAAAAACAAATTGTAGGTTGAAGGTTTTGTGGCTTAGTAGGTCTCCAAGTCCCACTTCACAGAGCCTTCATTAGTTATATAAGATGGCCAGTTTGCATTCTGTGTCCTCCTTAGTAAGAGACTTCCTAGAATTGCTACCATAGATTTCAGGGAATTTCTACTGCACTAGTTTCTACATCCCTTAACATATGACCTTCAATTCCTGTTGTCTCTTTCAGTACTCTCTCCCTCCATCCCTTCCAATCCCGTTCCCCATGGCTCCTGTTCTCATGCCTTCTTAGCCCCAGTGCACTTGTAAAATCTATTCTATTTCCTCTTCTCAAGGAGATTCATCCACTAAGTGTAGGCATTCCACACTGTTAAGTTACCTCTTATAACAACCTTCATTGTGCTGCATAAGTTTGAGTATGTTAGATTTCCATTTTCATTTAATTGTAAAACCCTTTGAATTTCTGTCTGGACACATTGTTTATTTAGTAGAGAGTTGTTCAGTTTCCATGAATTTGTAGACTTTCTATTCTTTCTGTTGTTAATATCCAGCTTTAATAGATGGTGGTCAGCTAGGATGCTGGGTGTGATATAATTTTCTTATATCTGTTGAGACTTGCCTAGCGTCCAAGTATGTGGTCAGTCTTGAAGACTGCACCATGAGATACTGAGAAGCAGGTAAATTCTCTTGTGTTTGGGTGAAATGGTATGTAAATATGTGTTAGGTTTATTTGGTTTATAATGTCATATAGCTTCATTTCTCTGTTTACCTTTTATGGATGACTTGTCTATTGCCACAGGTAGAGTATCACCCTGTGAGGACCAATATGTGATTTAAGCAGTAGTGGTGTTTCATTTACAAATTTTGATGTTGTGTTTGTGCATAAATGCTTATAATTTCAATATTCTTTTTGTGGATTTTCCCTTTGTTGAGTGTATAGCGTCCTTCTCTACCTCGTTTGGTTAGTTTTGGTTTAAAGTCTATTTTATTTTATTATTAAAGTGGCTACATCAGCTTACTTTTGGAGTTCATTTGCATTTAATCTCCTTTTCCATCCTTTTGCTCTGAACTGATATCTATCTATCTAGTTGCTGATATCCAATCTTGTCTTTACTGGGTGTATGTTCTGGCCCAAGGTTTTTCTTGTTGTCTCTACTTCTGAGGAGACTGTGGTAGTTGCGGGTTGTATCTGAGATCCTACCAGGTGTGGCCACTGTGGGTTCTGAGTGGATCATGTTTCTACATATTGTGAGTTGATAATAAGGAATAGGGATGGGATAGAAGGGTGGAGGTGAGAGTCCATAGGAGAGAGGTAAGCTGAGTATGCCCCTCAGATCTGTATAAACTCCTAGGAATGGGTGCAGAGAGGAAGAAGAGGCCACGGCAGGTGTTGTGATATAATTTAGTGAGTAGTGAGCAACACTGTTTCTCTGGTTACTTGTGGTTGGCAAGTTTCCCTGCAATGCCTGTCTGTGGGATTTGATGGATGAGACAGAGGGATGAGGTGAATGGTGCCATAAGACTCTAGGAGACCTGCTGTGAGTGGAGGCAAAGAGGAAGGGGAGATCAAGGAGGTTGGCCTGCTACAAAATTAGGGATAAGACTCAGAGATTGGAGTTGTAGGGCAGGAGGAACAAATGAATATTGTCTAGCTGTGTCCTTGATGTGGCATGGCCAGTGGGTTCCAAGGAAGTGCCTGGCCTTCAGTTATTCTTGAAAACCAGAGCACCCATGCATTCATAGAGCAGTTATTCCCAAGAGAAGGCTCGCCTATTAAATCTTACAATAGCATTTGTCTATGCGTAAAAACAAAATATTAAGAAGCTAGATAGATGTCATAACAAGTTAACAAAGTAAAACAATGGTAGTAATTCCCTCTACCTAGGATCTATGAACTCAAAGCCACAGGTTTTTAAACCAGATAACAGTACCAGATACAAATTCTCTTCTGTGCAGGACATACATCCAGTCAGAGAATGATTGGTTAGCAACATATATAACAAACAGGATACTGTTGCATTAGTGGACCTGAAGCATGCTTATTTTGTTCTTGCTTTAAACAGGTCAACATAACTTTAGAAGCTTAGACAGTACTCAAAGTTGGTAAGTCAGATTTCTAGAAAGTATAAATAGGTGTTCTTAGGTTTCATAGAAGTGAAACAAAATATTGACCATATGGATCTCGCTCACATTTACCCTGGAGAAGTGTCCATTTCTAACATCAGTGAAGTTGGAAAACGGTCACCGTTTTATTTTGATGTTCTCAGATTGAGTCACTGTAAACCACTGGATTTTGATCTACCCAATTACTCTCCCTCTCAGTTATGAAGAATCCTCTCCCCTGACTTTCACTTGCATTTGAGCTTTTCAGACACTCTATTCTCTACCAGGCAAATATCATTCTCTTTCCTAGGCCTTTTAAGAGTGTTTGGAGAAATAATTGGAGGTTGTTATAAAAACCCTCTCCCTTATTCAATATTTTAAATACTTTTAATATGTACAAGAGTTAAAGATTTGGCTCTTCACAAATAATTTGAAAAACAAAAGTGTACTTTATTACATAGGCTGCTTTAACTATCAAGCTTAGTATTTTACCCTACCTTCAGACTATACTATAGCGGGATATCTTCCCACTGCATTTGTAAAAAGCTAGGCAATTGGGCTGTATGAGCAGTAGGTGAAATGAGGAGTCTGGAGGAAAGGAAGTGTAGAAGGAAGAGGAGGAGCTAGGAGGGAGGAGAGAGATGTAGGAGCCATGGAGAATCCTGCACAGGTCCAGGACGGTCCTGGGTACTGATTTATATCATAAGGTTAGATATTAGGTTACAACTCTAATTTTATGGGCACCTTGTTATTTGAGTATTTCCAATTATATAAAGCCTTTGGAAAATATTAAGCATTAGAGTCTCTAATGCTTAATTTCTACC